CTTCACCTATGGAGATCTGACAAACCCTGCAATTCACACCTTCTACCTGAAGGTGACAGAAGGCTTCTCAGCGGGTCGGATAAAGATCCTGGGGACAACTCTGGACAACTCTTAATGTTGTTCTTTCAGGTGACCACTCTAATCCTGCATGCATCAACTAGTGCTGCCCTCTGTGCAAATACTTTGGCAGTAATGAACATCATACACTCTAAAAAAATGCTGGGTTAAATATAACCCAGTGCTGGGTTAAAAAGGGACAAACCCAGCTATTGGGTTGTTTTGACCCAGCGGTTGGGTTATATTTAACCCAGCATTTTTTAGAGTGTACGGAGATCATTTCCTGTGGCCCCTCAAAGGGATAGTTCACCCAAAAATGAAAATGTGATGTTTATCTGCTTACCTCCAGGGCATCCAAGATGTAGGTGACGTGAGGTGTGTACGCGCTCTGGCGTAGTTTAGGTTAATGGGTGTGTAGATATCCAACCGGAGAGCAATCAACCATAACTTCAGGCGAGCAGGCTCAGAAGTTGGGAATACGTGGAAAGTCACCACTCCCGAATGAGTTCGCGCGAGAGAACGTAATCTTTTAGTTTTAAGTCGGTTTGAACAATCCGGGACTGATAGACTGCAACGGTTAAAGTTAAAAATCATCAAATGTGTTCTACTGAAGAAACAAAGTCACCTACATCTTGGATGCCCTGGGGGTAAGCAGATAAACATCACATTTTCATTTTTGGGTGAACTATCCCTTTAAGGACTGCTCGGAGTTTGCTCCAAGGGACCAGGGGAGGACTGAAAGGATGGATTTTTACCAAAACTGAATTCAAGATTCCTATCCTGTAATAAAATAATAAAACTCACTAATCTGAAGATAGGATCTACGAGAAAAAGCACAGAACAACAGCTGGCCCAATCTCATCTCTTCCCCTCCATGCTGAGTTCCTGACTCCTCACACCCTCTCCTTCCCCTCAGGTCTCAGTCAGTCATGCAAATTTCACAAATCTATAGTTTCAAGCTGTTTTATGTGAGGTCAATATAAACACTTCAGGTACGACTGGTAAGGTGGTTTCACTCTCGCATCAACAGAACAGGCAAGAATAAAGAAAACAAAACCTGGGGCCATATGTATAAAGCCGCTCAGAGTAAAATTGTTGTCCTAAGTGTATCAAAATTCTAAGAATGACGTAAATTTTACTCTTATTCCTAGACATAAGAATAAGAGTGATTCATAAAGGTTCCTAAGTGTTAAGACTAGGTTCCAGCTCCTGAATTATTTAAGAGAGCTGAAGAGGTCTCCTAACCTAGTTAGGTGTAACAAGTCGGGGAATTCGTGGCCTAATGGTGTGTGTGTTCACGGTGTGTGTGTGTGTTCACTGCTGTGTGTGTGCACTTTGGATGGGATAAATGCAGAGCACTAATTCCGAGTATGGGTCACCATACTTGGCCACAAAGTCACTTCACTTTCACTTTCAAGATGGCAGCACAGATGAGGAGACATATTGGAATTATATGATGATATGGAGTTGATAAAACGATACAAACTTGATTGTCAAAAAGTTAGTTTTTTTTGTAACTGACAAAGAAAGAAATTTTATAACTTCTTCCACGCAACAAGTAAGAATAAGAGTGATTCATAAAGGTTCCTAAGTGTTAAGACTAGGTTCCAGCTCCTGAATTATTTAAGAGAGCTGAAGAGGTCTCCTAACCTAGTTAGGAGTAACAAGATGGCAGCATAGAGGAGGAAACAAACACTTTCCAGCGAAGATATGACATATTGGAGTTATATGATGATCTGGAGTTGATAAAACGATACAAACTTGATTGTCAAGATCAAAAAGTTCGTTTTTTTTGTAACTGACAAAGAAAGAAATTTAATAACTTCTTCCACGCAACAAGTCAATGCTCTAACTGCAGAAATGTAGTAATAAACATTTTTTGGCTGTAAAATTGGAAAAATGCATCAATGCACCGGTGATGACACAGTAAGCAGGTTCTTACATATAGTGGCACCAACCCCACCAAACACAACAGTGGCCAAAAGTGATGTGTGGATTTTTTTTTTCTCTGACCCCACATTTCACTTAAACCACTAAAATACAAAGGGGAAAAAAACACTGACCAGTGTTGCCAACTGCTTTCAATTGAAAGTAGCTAAAACTGGTCACTCAATGTTGCTAGATGACCTCATAAAGGTGAGTTCACTGATCTATATTTATATTTATATAGATCAGTGAACTCGTCCTTTATAACGTCATAGGAGAGTCTCGGAATGTAGATAAGGTTTGTCCAAGAAATTGATTTTGAAAGTCACTAAATCTAGTGACAAAATCACTAAATTGGCAACATTGGCACATTGACTACAACATAGGTTATTCATATTTCATTGGTTCTTTTGTTTTTGCATGTGTTCATAATTTCTTTGTATGACAGCATGCCAAAAATTATGACTGCACAATTTGGCATGTTTCATTGCATTATTATCACAACTGACTCTAAGCAACTATGCAATATGCTTACAAAATCTTGAACATTCATTTCTTAATTTTTTTTAATTAAGGGTGACATTTCCTAGGCCGGACCTCACTTTTGGCCACTACTATATGGCAATTAATTAACTTTCCAACTGACCGCCAAACCATATTGCAAAAACAAGCCACTTTTATGAGGATTCATGGAGTTGTTGGAGCCACTGATGGAACTCATGTTCACGTCATTGCTCCAACTGTACACGAGGAGACATACCAATAGAAACCGAAGCATCAGTAATAATTTGTGATAATTTTGCACAATGCAAAGCATAAAAAAAAGACATTTAAATATTAAAATATTTCAGTGTCTTAATTAAATGATTTTATTGCAGTTACATTAAATGATTGGTGTTGTGCTGCTGTGACTTCACATGAGCAGGCTCACTATTGGCTGATTCAGAGGTTGAGGTCGGCCATTTAGTGTTGACATCATTGTAGTCCTTATTTCACAACACTTAAGTGTCACCTCAAGTCAACACTTAAGAATCAGTCTTAGACTTTACTGAAAGCTGCTTTTAGCTTCTTTATAAAAGTCTCCTACTCTTAGAAAAGTCCTACTTTTTACTAAGAATTGTTTGACACTTAAGTCAAAGCTTAAGACTATTCTTAAGAGCATTTCTGAGAAGTTTTATACATACGGGCCCTGTTCTTGTGGGAGATGCCCCAATAAAGATATTTGATAACCATGTGTTTTCATCCCCAAAACTAGGTGTGTGACCTTTCGGGTTACGAGATCCTAACAAACCAAAAGGTCTTTTATGTTTTTACAACTGATTTGAAGATTTCTTTGTTCAGGGCCCGTATTTATCAAGCCTCTGAGAATTACTCTCAAGAACGTTGCTTAGAATTGACTTAAGTGTAAAAAACGTCTTGGCTCAAAGCTGCACTTAAAAGTTAGTTATCAAGCATCTCAGTCGTAATGTAAGCGAAGTGTAGGACTAATGTCAGTCTTAGAGTTTATTCAGACACTTTGGAGACACGCATGGACCAATCACTGAATAGATTTCCTTATTTAAGAATATTCTCAGATAAATTCACGTTGAATGGTTAAATTCCTAATAGGAGTTTACATTCAACACACATTTGACAATAAAGAATTTAAGAGTATAGATTATGGTAAGGAAACGAATTGTCATCACAACCTTCAATTTAGGGTTGTGCCAGTCGACGATAGTATCGTGTATCGACGACAGTCAGAGATATCGCCTGTGGCTGATTTCTTTGACGACAGCGAGACGATTATTATTATTCTTATTATCTGTCAAAAATATAAGCGCCTATCTTTAGTGATGCAGCGCAGAGAGCCGCTTCAGAAACTTGCCGTGGCGCAGGTGGTGAGTAGCCGTGATCAGCATAACTGTATGAAAAAAGACAACATGCACTGCGCATCTGTGGTCTGCTCTCCCGATTTAATTTACGATATCACGAATAATTCACTGAATGCACTAAGAATCATTTTTCTTCCCAAATCCTCACATATCTTTCCAGGTTTGTTTTCACACGGATGCTTTAAAAAGCTTCTAATCCCTATCAGCAGTGTTTACTGGAATGATTCTAAAACAGGTAAATAATACATATATTTTTCACTTTGAAAAATGATAACTCAGTGTTCCAGTTAATGAACACGTTCATAACATTTTAATTAAGCATGTCCATAATATTTCTGCAGAAATAACTGAGCTTTTCGGGGTTATTCATGGTCTGTTGTGGTAATTTGGTAATGCTTTTACACTTTTGCATTTCCTTTTAATGTTTGATGGTTGAAGGGTGAGTAGAATGTCACCGGAAGTTACTCCTACAATTCATGCAAAGTGTCACGGGGCACAGAAAAAGGTGGATATTAGATTTTAAACTCTAATACAAAATCAGTCAAATCACCCCTTTGTTTATTTCTTAAGTATTTTGGCTGATTTGATTATGATTTCAGTTATTAATAAGAGTGCAGTAATATCTGCTTTATCATATTTGAATCAGTTTCACAGAATTAAACATGTATACACAAAATCAGTGCATACTGACATACTAATAAATAAATAAACAAGCAAGCTTTGTGCATTTATGCATTTGGCAAAAGCCTCTTGCATTGCATTAAATGCTTTTTTTTCAATCAGTTCATGCATTCGCTGGGAATCAAACCCATGACCTTCTAGAGAGTCATTTCATGAAATCAAATTTTTACAAATCCAACTGAAAATCGCATTGCAATGCAATATGTGATTAAAAAACTTAAAAACAAATGTTTGATGTAGGTGTTACAGCAGGATCTTTAAAGCTTTGTGTGTGGATGAATCATAAAGAGTGTTGTTTTTTTACTGCGGTACAGCTGAGCACATCGCACATAAGATGAGAAGTTTCTATCAGCTCTCAGGTGACAATCACTCCATCCTTTCAGAAACGCTGCATTCTGTTCTGAACTTTATTCATGCATCAGTGTCATTGGTGATACCTACAGAAAGTGAAAGGTCAGGTACCTCTCTCTTGTCCTGCTGGGTCTCAGCGGCCGCTGAAAGACTGACTTTGGTGGCCAAATCCTTCAGTTCCTCACGCCAGCTTTCAGAAATCAGTTCTGAGGAAAGACATGAGAGGTGAAAGAGAGCAAGAACAAGAAACAGATGTGAGAAGATCAAAAAGGGCAAAAAATAACAACTACTACTGACGAAAATAAATATACATTTGAGAGCCATTTTCTGGAGTGTTTTTTAAGATCCTCTAAATAGTCAGAGATATATATGTATATATAAAACAATTATAATAATAATAATGCAACAAATTTCAGTGAAAAAGTCTGTCACTAAGTACTTTTTGAGCTCGACAGACTATGAATATTCAGTCTTGCAAGTCTTCTTGTGTTCCCTGAAGAAATAAAGTCAAAGCAACATGAGGACACAAATTTCATTTTTGTGTGAACTATCTCTGTTAGACACAAAAGCAGCATTCATGTTTGTATAATACCTGCTCGTGGTCCAGAGCGATCCGAGCCAATCTCAGGTGTGAGAAACACCGACCAACGGCTCCCACCGAAAGACACTTGACTTTTAATGAGTGGATGCGGACAGAGAGGAGTGAAGCCGTACCAGTCATCATTCACCGTACAAACCGGCTTACCATTCAACCCTACGGAAAGAGGAGACCATTAGAAATCCGTGCTGGAAATGTGATCAGGCTTAACTTTGATTTTCAAGTCTCCCAGGATTCAGAGCGTTTGTACATGCATGGCCTGATCAAAACCTGCATTAAACTGCATTGGACTCCTGCTGTGGCCGAAGCTCTTCACAGGATTACAGTAAAGTTACACACAGCTGCTAAAGAAAACAGGTGAGAATCTGTGAGGTCTGAGATGCTGTCAATCACAAATAAATTGCCCGAAGCAACACCTCAAGTCAGAGTTTTGCATGAATATTCATAGAGACCAAGGCCAGTTTGGGCTTGATTTCCCTCTCTCGCCTGACGTTACTATAATCGTACTGCATGTTTTCAGTCTAAATTAGTAACTAGTGGGCAGGTTTTCAAATACAGACCTGCTTATTCACACTTTCTCGCATTCAGCGAAGTATGTAAATCATACTTGTTTGTTGGTGAGGACAAACTGTGTGTTTATGCAGTAACTCTTCATTAAAGTCATTCAGAGAAGAGATGAACATGCTGGCGCTTTCCTCGTGAAGGGCTACGGGGCTTTTGATAGATTCAGGTGCCTTTATTATGCTAATAGAGCCTAAAACCTCACAAAACAGCCTCTGTGTCTGGACTCCTGCTGCTACAGGCATATTTTACAATGCAGTGAGCTTCGAGTGCTGTGACAACAGGATGAAAGATGAAGAAATGAATGTTTTTCTACTAAAAAAAATTATGCTGGATTAATCTTTCAGGCATTTACCTACTGCTTTTATCCTAATATATACGTTCTCCTTGCCTTTATCACTCATTATAAACCTTTAAGTTTGCACTCTGAGGTCCTTCAAGTAGCTTATAAATCATCTTTCAGATTCAAGTATCAGGCTGACACAGAGAAATGATTATAAACAAAAACTGAACTCTACCAATGCCCTCCACCTGTCTGTGCCTAATTGTACTCTATATGGTCATGTTTACTATATTTGTGTATAGTCTGAGCCTCGTCACAAGCATTTTTAATGACAAATAAATGCCTCTTGACTACAGTTTTCACATGCTAAGACTTCCTATCTGTTGCTTTGTATTTTTATAAATGCATTTTTGAAAATTCAACATTAGGGTCTGAACGAAGGCCAAATTAAAGACAATTGCCACAAAGCATGAGGTTAATGCACATAGGCTATAGAGATTAAATCTGGATTTTGCATACGCTTGTTCCCCTAAGGAAACCACTCAAAGGATCTAAACTAACCAATGCAATGCAGCGTCAGATTTCTGCTGTATGGCAATAGTGAGCGCCACTTTTGCACATCAATCATGAGCACTCAGCTGTAATTTTCTGCACCACGTGAAGTGTGTCCTTCTGAAGTATCATCACCACATGCTACAGCATGAAGAACCAACTCTAATACCTCAATTTCCAACTCCGCTGTCATAAATTGGCCCATGCTGACTGGATGCACAGAAATAATTGGAAATTACTTTTTGTGAAGCAACAAAGGCACATTTCCCATTAAACATATTAGATAAACTATAACAAATTTAAATTAACACAAGCACGTCCACCCACCCCACAACATGACAGAAAGACTAATAGCCTCAATCTGCTGATTGCATTATCAGTTGTCAGGCGAATTGTGACTAGACCAGCAAACACAGAATGTTCCTCTAACGTTCCCGTATTTAATGTCTAGGGAGAACACAATGAGATGTGTTAGCAACGGTTAAAAGATTGAAAATGCAACTTCAACAGATCTCCTTTTTAATATTACAACAACAACAAAAACAGCTTAATGCTTGAATTGCGCTGATCCCAAATATGGAATTATATTTTACTGTACTTTTCCTGCAAAAAAGTCTTTAGGCTTTGTCTTTTTTTCCAGTGCAAAATAATCATTAATGGATCTACTGGAAAACCTAAATACTCAGTTTCCTGCAGTGCATGCAACATTTAATACCATGACTTTATTATGTTAAAGTTATTTTTCTGACCCTATCGGCAGATCATTTTTTCTTATTTTAAGCTTCAACTAACATCATTTTGATCATTTTATCAGAACACTAGGCTTAATATCAAGACATTTTGCTTCTTAAGTAAATGTATCTTGATTCAAGAACATTTAAATATTTGTTCTGGAAAACAAAATAAAATACTGAGAAAGAAAATCATTTTTTGCAGTATGAAAATCTCTAAGAATTTATTTTGCAAATTGTTTAATTGAGTTGACATATAATTGACACCGAAAAACACCTAAAATTAATCTAATTAATTAATGAATTACCCAGAGCTTCAGTATGAAGACAGGCTTTAATAATGTCAGAGTCTGCTTCAAATCACTTTATAATTAGTCATTAACAGACATGACATAACATGAAAACGACGGGAAACACTTAGAAGAGTCAATGACATGCTACAGTATTCTCCACCTGAAACTATTTAGACATTATTCTACAGCTCATGAGCTCATATTAATTAGAACATGCAATGAACAACTTGTAAGAATCTGCAGGACTGTTGAAGATGCATTAGAGCAGGTGGCGCATCCAAAACCCCATTTTCTCCTGTACAGTCACACAAATGTTGAGTGCTTTGTGAATTGCGCGTTATTGGGTAACGTTTTATAATAATTGCAGAGCAAAAAATGTATCATATTAATTAAAGAGGCTACATGGAATATTAGTAGGCTTATAAACTAATTTGTCTGACTGTGGGAACAACTTCAAATTAACTAGTGACGATAAAAAGGTCATTAAAATGTGAAAATGTAATTAATAATTTAAATCATTTAAAGTGAAACATGAAATGTGACCCTGGAGCACAAAACCAGTCATAAGGGTCAATTTATTGAAATTGAGATGTATACATCATCTGAAAGTTTAATAAATAATCTCTCCATTGATGTATGGTTTGTTAGGATCAGACAATATTTGGCTGAGATACAACTATTTGAAAATCTGGAATCTGAGGGTGCAAAAAAAATCGAAATATTGAGAAAATCATCTTTAAAGTTGTCCAAATGAAGTTCTTAGCAATGCATATTACTAATCAAACATTACGTTTTGATGTATTTACGGTAGGACATTTACAAAATATCTTCATGGAACATGATCTTTACTTAATATCCTAATGATTTTTGACATAAAATAAAAATCGGTAATTTTGACCCATACAATGTACTTTTGGCTATTGTATTGGTACAAATATAACCTTGCTACTTATGACAGCTTTTGTGCTCCAGGGTCACAAATTCACATTCACAGAACTTAAATACATTTTTATAAATATATTATTTATTTGTATTTTTTATATTTTAAATTGTATTTATTAAATACATTTAATTTATTAATTCATTTTTATTTTCACAAAGTTTAACTTAATCTTGATGCTGAAAATCGTGCTGTCAACTATCCTGAACTAATATATATATATATATTATATATATTAGAGATGCACCGATTAACCGGCCGTATAAGCAACATTATACGGCCATGATGTTTTCCGAATTTCAATATAAACACGATTGCAATGTGACACTGATTTTATACAATATTACTTCAATAAACAAGAAGTTAAAATTAAGTGACTTAGATTTAAGATAAAATATTGACTGTTTTTGCTCAATTTCGCTGACGAGAATAGTTCTGATCAAAGCCACAGCAGAACTGTTGTGTCTCCGAGCAACACACAGCGGTGTTTCCTTACTGAATGAATGAATTTTTGAACGAATCGAGTGAGTCAATGATTCAGTGGCCCATTCATAAGAACAGTCACTTGCCTCGTTTCTGAATTAATCGGTTGAATGAATGAATAAATGACTCACTCATTAAAACAGACATTTGCCGCCACCTACTGGTGGTTTAGTCATATTTAAAAGTATCTTTGCATTTTTTCAACATTTATTTGTATGTTTAAAAAAATATGTAAAACATTAATCTTATAAAATTATTTATGCATTTGAAATTTTGCAGTGTAAATGCATTTATGCCACCTCGGCTTCATCAAACTGTCTGTGTAAATACATCTAATTCTGCTTCAGATGCAGCTTCTGTTTCCTCCGCAGTGGAAAGATAGCGTTTGTTAATACTAATTTCATTTGAATGGTAACAACTCTACAGTTTCTTATTATACTAACTGAATTAATTGAAACAAAGTAAGAATTTGATGTGAAAGATGAGACATTTAATAAGGTTAGGGGGAAAAAAATACCATTTATAAACATAGTGGGAAATGACACCTGTTTTGTTCCATACAGCAACTCATTTTAAGTTAACTATGTCTTCCTCTTTCCAGTCACAGAGCACTTTATTTTGAGAGTTGTTTAAGTGAGAGAAAATCTGTAATTTAGTCCAGATTGGCAGAATTGTAATGTTTAATAATTTCTTTTATTATGTAAATAATTTTTGCATTGAAATTTGCATAGATTTTTGTTTGTATATGCTGTCAATTATAGTTCTTAGAAAGAAAATCGGAATATTAAAAAAATTGGTATCGGCAGTACCAAAAAATCGGAATATATATATATATATACACACACACATACATTCACATACACTAAATTATATACTTTATATACACAAAAGCACCACAAAGTATCATGATAATAGGGTAAAGGTGTTTTCATCTAAACCACTAGATGGCACAAAAACTTAGCACTTTCCAAAACATCCGCTTTTCAAGATGCACCTGTATATTTGTCTGATCCTTGACGCGATCGCGCGCAGCAGCGCAAAGTTGATTCTGTGCTTACTTGAGCTAATATTTTATGTTTTTTAAAATGTTGTATATTTAAGTAGCAAACGAGAATCGCTAAAATGAATGCATATATTTTGAGACAAATGTCTTCTTTATGATTTTCAGTTTTGTTTAAGATAATTAAAGCAACAGTTTTTAAATAACAAAAGAATATGTAAAAGTACAGTATTTGGGGTAAAAAGCGCCCCTGCTGTTGGGGCTAAAGGCGCAGTTATTAACATGATAATTAATAGATGGCTGACTTTTCCATTTGTTGACATGGTTAGACTCAGATGGTAAATATCATATATTATGTTGAGTGTCCATATTAGAGATAATCACCATGTTTAGAATGAAACCATCATATTTAAAAACATGATATTAATCATATCATATAATAAAATATCATTTGTTGTTACTACTGTAAATATATATTCAATTATTATTGGATCTCCTTCAATACTGACAGAATCTTTACTTATTAAAACGATTTTGCTTCAGTATTTTAAAATATATTTTTTATATGAATATATTTTAATGACAGTATATTTATTGAAAAAAAATTAATTCTTTTATTTTTCAAAATAAGCAGAAAAAAGTACAAACTTTGCTAAAGTGATTGTTTTGAGCAAGTATTAACTTAGACATTATTATTTTTAAAAAACCCATTATTTTAGCTGTTACCCTTTATAAGTATAAGTATTTAACTTTACCCATTATAAGTATTTGTATCAATACCGTGTGTGGGGTAAAAGGCCCCTCTTGCCACCTCATACATTTATATGATTTTTAAACAAAACAAACAACTTGAATGATTTATTTTCACACAAAATCTGTTGCTCCATTAATGTTCAATACAACGTATATATTTTTTCTGCAATTATACATTTTAGGCGCAGTGAATAGCACATTTTTTCTTAAGGTGGGCCTTTAGCCCCGTTGTACCCTACTATTATAATACCATTTTTTTGTGGCATGTCAGATAGCACCATGGTATCATGTTAAGTACTTTAGTAATGATTTACAAACATGGTAATCAGTACCACTGTATGTTTAAAAAACCCATGGTAATACCATCGGACAGTTTTCCTGTGGGGTTTAATTAGAGAGAGACGCTCCAAATCTGAATCTAAAGTAGGATTACGAGAAGTGTGGAGCAAATACACGGCAAACGTCTCTCAATTTTATGTTTATCATCACTGTATTAAAACACTGATTTTGAAATGTAAATGCACCGTTTAATATTACAGCAAGAAGTCATTAGACAAATATATACACGCCTGTATGGAAACACACATGTTGTCACTGTTATGAGCGACACAGCTCACTTTGGCAAGTCTGATTTCATGCAAAGCAACAAATGATCCACAACCAATGAGAGTGTAGGTCACATAAGCATGCTAAAATTTCCCATAAAACTGTAAATCATGCAGTGCTGAAGTTTGTATTCTCTGTCTGGAGCCAGGAGTTCAGAGGTCATCAAACCTGACTTTTAGTATGCAGAGAAAAACAAACCTTCACCGTGTGCTTGAGTTTCTGCTCTGCTGCATTAGTACAGGTGTGAATGGACATGAATGGAGCACGATGTCCAGGCAGTGACGCACCTTTAATCCTCAGTAATTCAGGGGTTTGTGCTGCTCTCCTTCCCTCTGGGCAGAGGTTTTTGTGCAGTAAATCACTTTGACGGCTGGTTGTGCTGCAAATTCAAACGATATATGACTCTCTGTTAGTGTTATCAAAGCAAAAGATACCTAATCCACAAATGCAGTCAGTTAGTCTATATAATAAATTGTGATATTTTATTAACGGACAGGGTTATAAATTATATATATATATATATATATATATATATATATATATATATGCATTTCCATTTCATATAACTTAAACTACTACTATACAAAAAAAAAGAAAGAAAAAAAAGAAATAGACATGAAAATAAAAAAACTTCTAAAAATGACAAAAAGACACAAAATTACTAAATCTTTGACTAAAATTAAAATGAAACTATAAAAAATAAAAAATAAAAAGACTAAAACTGAAAAGTTAACACTTTAAGGTCCAATTCTCATTATTAACTAGTTGCTTATTAGCATGCATATTACTAGCATTTTGGCTGTTTATTAGTACTTATTAGGCACATATCAAAGCCTTATTCTGTATGTTCTACAACCCTTAACCCGGCCCAATACCTAAACTTAACATTATTAACATTACCTCACTATTAATAAGCAGCAAATTAGGAGTTTATTGAGGGAAAACTCTTAGTTAATAGTGAATATGTGTTAATCTGAAGTGTTACCACTGAAAAAAACGATATAGACATATTTAAAAATACAATATAAAATAACAAAAACACAATAATTAATAAAAATGACATAAGCACACGGCATAAGCACACATTAAAATGAAAACGGAAAATACAAACATTTAAAAAAAATATAATAAAAAATTGAAATTTTATACATTAAATAGAAAATAACAGTATCTCAATATTAAAAACTGTACCAATACTTGTTCCTACTTGACCGATTCATAATAATTCATAATAAACATGTCCTGTTTTAAATTTCTTAATTTATTGTGTGAAATACAAGCTCATTTAATTGAATTTACGATCATTAAATTGTATTATAAATATCAGCCATCGTTTTATTTAATTAATTTATTTAACACCACGTCAGCAGCAAGGCAATCATAGTGTAAACAGAATAAATAACAATAAACAAAAAGCTATTTAAAGGATTAGTTCACTTCCAGAAAAAGAATTTACTCTCCCATCATGTCATCCAAGACGTTCATGTCTTTCTGTCTTCAGTCGCAAAGAAATGAAGGTTTATAAGGAAAAACTTCCAGGATTCTCCATATAATGGACTTCAATGGTGACCAACGGGTTGAAGGTTCAAAGTGCAGCTTCAAAGAGCTCTACACGATCCCAGCCGAGGAATAAGAGTCTTATCTAGCCAAACCATCACTCATTTTCTAAAAAAAATAAAACTTTATATACTTTTTAACCACAAATGCTGGTCTTGCACTTGCTGGACGTCACGCAATTTGGACCTTCAACCCATTGGTCCCCATTGAAGTCCATTATATGGAGAAAAATCCTGGAAGGTTTTCCTCAAAAACCTTCATTTCTTTGCGACTGAAGACAGAAAGACATGAACGTCTTGGATGACATGGAGGAGAGTAAATCATCAGAAATGTTTTATTCTGGAAGTACTCCTTTAAGACACTTACGGTTAATATTAGATGTTTTTAAAATACGTTCAGGTGATACTTTTTTCAAACACATCTATTTACATTAATATCAGTGCAGTCGTGCAAGGCCTGATTCTCTAGCATGAGTCGAGCACTGCTCTAAAGTGTGCTTCAGGTGTTCACTGTGTGTGTATCTTGTGTTTTCTTTGTGCTGTACATGCAGGGGTTCTAGTATGCAAGACCGTTCCTTTTGTACAGACTACTGCCATCGTCACCGGCATCCTCACCATGACCTGCATCGCTATCGAGAGATACCAGGGCATCGTCTATCCGCTCAAAATGAAGAGGCAGTGCACGCCCAAACGAGCCTACAAAATGCTAGGTAAGTTCAAACACCTACACGTTCAACCCTGTCTGCTCGATTATTCAGATAAACGTGTGGAAAAGCAATGCTCCATAAGCCCTAAAAATCAACACGAGGTCAAATCTGACAGCACTTAGTTTAATGCACTTAATACACGCTCCTGGAGGTACTGTGCATGATTCACCCGTTATTCTTAAGAAAAGAAGAAGTTTCCTTCAAATCTATCCCACTTACTTTTCAAATGTCACCTCGATAGGCAGCTTGGCTTCAGGAAGCGAGTGAATTTCTCTGAAGCGCTCTTAGGTGACTCCCATCATGCACTGCAGCGTTTCGAGATTACTAAAGGACCGAGAGCATGTCATTAAATCCACAGACCGCTGTTGATTCGGAGGTCTGTGGACTGATATATCGAGACATTTCTTAAACTATTAAAAACTGTAAAAAGTTTGAAATGTTCTTTATAGATTAGATTACAACTGTTTCTGATCACTTTTTTAGTGGCCTCAGTTCCAGAAGTATTTTTTTCATTCATTTTATCTCCTACGGTTTAAAAAAAAAAAGGGTTTCGTTAAACCCCGATAGAGTGTAGGGGTACAGGGGATTAACATTTAGAATGGACAATAAAAGAGAAATATATATTCAAGTTGCGTGCTGTGCAAAGGACGAAAGAGCCTGATGTCTACAAGCAACAGACGGGTGAATTTATTGGGTGTAAAAATGAAAATAGAGCAGTGGCTAAGTAAATGAGATAATACAAAGGTATGTATTTACAATATTTACAGCATGACATAAGACAAACTACACAAAACAGGAGATGGAAGAAGGGACCACAAAAAAAAAAAAGTACAAAACAAAACAAGCAGCTACGAAGTGAACCACAGCATTAAAAACTCTGATTTGAAGGGAAACAATATATATATATATATATATTAATAAATAAATATTAATGCAACAAATATTATGCTCCATAGAACATATGGAGACTACTTATATCATCTGCAGTGCTTCATGGGAGCAGACAAAGTTCTTTTCTTGCCACAATTGTCTGATTTTTGGAAATAATTGCAGAATCATGGGTAATTGCTGTCAAACATTACTTGTTTTTTTAAAAGTTGTAATAATGCACTCTGATGGCTTCAGCAAAAGCATATACCGTTAATTAACGACCTCGCAGCTCACAGCAGGTCTGTTTTTAATGCTTTATGAGTTACTGTTAAAAATCAATTCCCCTGTGGAGAAAATAACAGCATAAGACCATCATTAAACATGTAAATCTCTCTCTGCGGGGCAATACAGTGACACAATGAAAGCATTAGCTCATGTGCATGTGTAAATATGAAGTGTTCACCCGAGGGCTCTTGTCTGTCTATTCTCATGTATATGTATATTTCGGTTCATCATTAACAATGGGACAGAACCCAGTAATGATCTGATTTGTATACATCTATACAGGGCTGGTGTGGATCGCTGCTGTCATGGTCGGATCACCGATGCTGTTCGTGCAACAGCTAGAGGCGAGTGATATCACAAAAGATATTGAGAACAGACAGACTGAGTGTTTAATTACAGTCACAGTATTTAACAAGCGCAAGGTTAATTGCTTTGACATGTGAAAAAGATCATTTAGTCAAGCTTGGCCGTCAGCAGATCAGAGACGCTGATGCCACATCAGTCTGACGAATCAGGTGACAGTAGAAAAGATTCACTGGAGTGCGGTTCAATTCTGAGAGTCTTATCGCAAAAGTTTGTGTGTTACTCACTGATTTATTTGAGTTCATCAAACGAGTCATTACTCACCCTTGTGTCACTTCTGAAGAACTTTACGCTGATTTTTCCATCTAATGACGTCTGTCAAGTTCGGAAAGTTACAAAAACAACATCAAGTGTCGTATCAGTAGTCCCAGAATAGTGTTGCATGATAAATCAGATGAATATGCACACAAATTCTAGATTTGAATTTAAAGCAATAGTTCACCCAAAAATTTAAATGGTTTTTTAAATGTGCTGTAAATGCACTCACCCTCAGGTCATCCCAGATTAGGATGAGTATGTTTCTTCATCAGATTTGGAGAATTGTAGCACTGCATCAGTGTCTCAGCAATGGATGCTCTGCAGTGAATGGGTGCCGTCAGAATGAGAGTCCAAACAGCTGATAAAAACATCACAATAATCCACAGCACTCCAGTCCACCAGTTAACATCTGGAGAAGACAAAAGCTGAGACAAATCCAGCATTAAGACGTTTTTAACTAAAATACATTGAGTCCATAATCCATAATAACGCTTCCTCCAGTGAAAAAGTGTTCTGGTGTGAATCAGGAGAGAAATCTGCACAGATCAAGCAGCGTTTAAACAGCTCTAAACACATATGTGTCTGGATTTTGATGTGAGAGACAACAGAAGATGCACTTTTTCACTGGAGGAAGCGGTATTATGGATTATGGACTTGTATTTTAGCTGGAAGTTTAAAAAGTCTTATGAAAAGATAAAAGATATGGTCAGGGCTGTACAGTGCGACAACATTTTTTTTTTTTTTGCATGTGTATGAACCTGTTTACAAACCTGGTTTATAAACCATATATTGTCACAATCTTGTGTTTATTGTCTTCATGTTTCATCAGTGGAAGCGTTTCTATCATCTTTTCACTCGGCTACAGACATAGCAGGATGTCTTTGTCTATATTAGTGGAGTTTCTGCGCGAGGGCGCCCTCTGGCTTCCAGTATGAATGTAACAGACATTACATTACCTGTGTGCTCACAACAACACCCTATTTTTGGTTAAAAAAAATAGGAAAGATAATACTTCTCTCTAAAGAAACAGGAGTTTTTTGTCTCTCAGTGGATGCATATGAATTATTGTCATTGATATCAATATTGCAATAAATACCAGAAAATATCGTGATATGTGACCCTGCAGCACAAAAGCAGTGTTAAGTCGCTGGGGGATATTTGTAGCAATAGCCAACAATACATTGTATGGGTCACAATTATACATTTCTCTTTTATGACAAAAATCATTAGGATATTAATATGATGATATTTAGTAAATTTCCTACCATAAATATATTCAAACATAATTTTTGATTAGTAATATGCATTGCTAAGAACTTCATTTG